GGGGGGGCCCAGCGTTGCCGGCGGCGATGCGGTTCGTGCCTTCCCTCCGCAGAGCCGGGGCCGTGGCACAAACAACCCGCGCACAACACCCTGGCTGGGGATGGTTTAATTTCCACCCCAGCCCTGCGCTGGAGTGGGCTTTTCGGAAGGGAGGAGGGCAGCCGAGGGAGGCGACTCCCTGGCTCTGTGGCAGGAAGGTCCCTGCAGGGTGCCAGCTTGGGGACAGCAGTGGCATGTCCCCTCCAGAGGCACCCGACACCCACCAGTGCTGGGGGCACAGGCTTGTGCCCAGCACGTGGGGTGCCATGGCTTGGGGCCGTCCTGGGGCTGGAAGAAGCAACCCTTGGCTAACGCCACCGCTCCAAAACATCCCCAGGGTGCTGGAGACACGAGCTCGGCCGGGAGCCAGGCTGGTCCTGGCTCCTCCAACCCCAGCACCTGCTCCAGGGATGGAGCTGGAGGTACCACCCAGCATGGGCAGGATGCGGGCCATGGCAGAGGGAGAGTCTGGTGGGTCTGAGGGAGGAAAAGGAGACAAACGGCTCTTCCCGAGGGAGAGAGGGTCTTTATTAACCACCCGGCAGATGGTGAGGGACTGAGTGATGGTGAGGAACCGGATGATGATGAAGGACCAGGTGATGGTGAGGAACCCGCGGTGCCAGGCCGGGGCGTTCCCACCCAGGTCAGGGTGATGGCTTGGAGCTGAGCCCAGCCCTCACCCCGAGCCATGCCGAGGTCTGTACCCCCCAGAAGCCCCCCTTGGCCCCTCGTCGCATTGGGACCGCAGTCCGGACGCAGCCCAGCTGCCAACTTAGGAGCAGGATGCTGTTGGACCCGGCTGTTGCAGGGGCATATCCCTGCCCTGGGGGCTGTCGCAGCATGATGGCGACAGAGGAAGGTGAGGGGCAGAAGAAGACACTGTTTCGGGGATGCTGCCATAGAGCACGTGCCCTTCTCGCCAGGTCCCAGCGCCATGGGTCCCCTCAGCCCCCCGTCCCCTGCGCGGGGGAGCTGTGGGGGGGTCCTCCTGAGCCATGGTCCAGGCTTGGCACAGCACCAGGGTCCTCCTGAGCCACAGGCTCGGCACAGCAGCCAGCGCTGGCCGGTGGCTGGGGCTGCCGGCTCAGGGGTCCCGCTGCCACAGGGAGATGTGCTCCTGGGCTGTGATGGGATGTGGAGAGTCAGTGCCCCCCCGCACCAGGGAGGACCCAGGGGTCTGGGCAGGGCTGGCAGCGGGGCACAGACCCGACAGAGCCAGGGGGCTGGCACCCCTGGGGCTCGGCACCCCCGGGAAGGTGCGGGAGGGCTCCTGGCCGCTCACTCACCGAACTGGCAGATGTACCGGTTTCGGGTCTTGCAGCGCTGGTCGTTCCAGTTGAAGGCAGCTGACGCTTGCATCTCCACGCAGTTCCCAAACCTGTGCCCCAGCAGGAGGGTGGTGAAGCCAGCCAGCGCGGTGGCACAGTGGTGACGCCGCGCAGAGGTCGGGTGTCCTCTGGATCCAGCGGGCACTTACCCCTGGTTGTCCGGCTGCCCGAAAGCGAAACTGGTGAAGGAGGACGGCTCGCCCACGTCCCAGCGGAAGGAAGCCTTGGACGTCTTGTAGGTGAGACCTGGGCGAGCGGGAGGCAGGGTGGCACATCCACCCACACCCCAGGCACCCCGCACCCTGCCTACTGCTGTCACTCACCGATCCAGAAGTTCCCGGTCTCGAAATCGGTGTCTGTCACCCTGTTACCGGTCTCCAAGCGGCTGAGGTAGAAAGCCAGGATGTCCTGGACCTTCTGGTTTCCGATCTGGGCCAGCATCGCCCCTTTCTCCTGCGGGGAAGGGAGCGAGTCAGCCCCAAACACGTGGCCCAGACCCACGCCAGGCAGCGGAGAGATGCACGGGAGGGCTGCGAGCACGGGTGGCATTTTTCAGCTGCAAAGGGATGCCCAGAGCACCCCGGGGGCTCACCTGGCACTTTATTTTGGCCCCGTAGTAGGTGTCGGCCTCGGGGGACACCATGAAGCAGTCGCCATCTATCCGCACGTCGCAGGCGTGGAAAGGGAACCGAATCTTCGCTGGGGACACAGGCAGGTGCAGGTGGGTCCCTGTGCCGGCAGAGCCGGGCCCACCGGAGGACCCTTAGCCCCGCTCCGGGGGTCCCTGCCTGCAGATCCCTGCTGCCACCCCGAAGCAGCGCCGGTGGGCGCCGACTCACTGCCGCACTCGGCTCCGCCGTAGCCCACGTCGCAGAGGCAGGAGCACTCCTCCTTCCTGAACTTCCCGTGGAGGCACTGCCCGCTGCACCTGACTGCGGGCAAGGCGCTGCGTTAGCTGACGGGGGGCTCGGCAGCCCCTGCCCGCCCCAGCTGAGCTTGCGCTGCACACTGGGGCGCTGCACCGAGCTGCCCACGCTGCACTGGCCGTGCACACGCATGCACTGAGCTGACCTGGCGCACGCACGTGCTGCACCACTGTGTGCACACAGGCACCGAGCAGACCACGAATGCTGCACCGGCCATGCCCATGCATGCACTGCACTGACCCTGCGCCTGCATGCACTGCACCAGCCATGCACATGCATGCACTGCACTGACCCTGCACGTGCATGCAGTGCACTGTCCACGCACACGCATGCACTGCACCCACCCTGCGCAGGCATACATTGCACTGGCCATGCACATGCATGCACTGCACCAACCCTATGCACACATGCACTGCACTGGCCGTGCACACGCATGCACTGCACCCACCCTGCGCAGGCATACATTGCACTGGCCATGCACACGCATGCACTGCACCAAGCCTTTGCAGGCATGCACTGCAGTGGCCATGCACACGCACGCACTGCACCAACCCTTTGCAGGCATGCACTGCAGTGGCCATGCACACGCACACGCTGCACTGGCCGTGCACACGCATGCACTGAGCTGACCTGGCGCACGCACGTGCTGCACCACTGTGTGCACACAGGCACCGAGCAGACCACGAATGCTGCACCGGCCATGCCCATGCATGCACTGCACTGACCCTGCGCCTGCATGCACTGCACCAGCCATGCACATGCATGCACTGCACTGACCCTGCACGTGCATGCAGTGCACTGTCCACGCACACGCATGCACTGCACCCACCCTGCGCAGGCATACATTGCACTGGCCATGCACATGCATGCACTGCACCAACCCTATGCACACATGCACTGCACTGGCCGTGCACACGCACGCACTGCACCCACCCTGCGCAGGCATACATTGCACTGGCCATGCACACGCATGCACTGCACCAACCCTTTGCAGGCATGCACTGCAGTGGCCATGCACGTGCATCTCTAGAGGCGAGGGGAGGCTGGGGTTGTGCAGGTGACCCTCTCACCTTGGCAGTACCTGCCCGTGTAGCCGGGGGGACAGGCGCACTGGCAGCTGCTCATGTCGAGGCGCCCGCTGTTCCTGCAGCTCATGCGACAGGGGTTCCTGGGCACCTCTGGGCACAGCAGAGAGGCAGCGCGGGCGTCAAGGGCTGCGGCACGGCCGGGGGCCGCGGGGGAGCCGGGGGGGATCGCGGGGACTCACCGCAGAGCCCACCGCTGTGGTCCCAGGACTTGAAGCAGCCGGAGAGGCCGGCGGGGGGGGGGGGGGGGCCCGCCGCCCCCCCTCTTCGGGGCGGGGGGGGGCGCG